CGCATGCTTTGTTTGGGGATCTATGACAAGGTAGCATATTAACACTTCTCAGTTCATCACTAGAAAGCCAAAGAGAAAGAGGAAGAAGCTGGCTTCTTTTGTGACATGGCCCTCATGACCTGAAGACCTTTCAGTAGGTCCTACTTTTTACAGTTGACCACCACCTCTCAACAGCAAAAAATGAGAACCAACATGTTAACTCACAGGCTTCTAGAAGGCATTGTAATCTAAACTATGGCACTGCTGCCCTCTCAGAACCACTTTATTTCTGTAAACTAGTAAAGAAATCCCTTCTTCCATTGCCAGTTTTATTTATTTGAGCATTTTCTTTTCTTTTTATTCTTAATGATAATTTCGGGTTTGTCATTTTTGTTATGTATTTTAAAGAATAACTTCATTGAACTTTATATTTTTCTATATTTTGTTTCACTTATTTTTAACATAAATAACTTAGTTTTGTTTTCCCCCTTGTGCTAGATGTGGGGAATAACATCATAGTGTAGGGATATGTGTAGGAGGAGCCCAGATGTGAGAGAGAGAAGACAGGGCAGAGTTGGAGTCTGCCCTCCAAAGACACCCACCCACACTGCCCTGCTTGGAGCTAATTCCTCTAACAGGCTGCATATGCTGTCATTTCCACCACCTCCTCACAGTGTAACAAGATGGAGTCCTTCAAGACAGGAACATCTGGGAGACAACCAGATCCAGGCTACAGCACTGCCCTTTATGCTTGCCGTCACTGCAATTCTCCACTGCTTCCTCTGAACTCCCATAAATGTCGCAAAGGCTTTCATTTTAGTTGAAGTTAATGATTGCTACTGAGAAACTGTCTCTTATTTTGTTTTTCTGGGGCTGTATGAGTTTCTTTATTTTTGAAGATTAGTTTTACCACATCCAGAATTTTTTATTAATGGGTTTTCTTTTGTCATCAGGAATATGCTATCCAATTGTTGTGTGATCTCCATGACTTCCAAAAGGCAACCAGGTAGTTTCATGTGTTCTGTTTCAGGTTGTATTCAGCACTGGATAAACTCAAGGCCCTGTGCATTCTATTCAAACACTGTACTTCTGAGGTCCACCCCTGGCCGGAAATCAGCTTTGAGTCTTACTGAGCATCTCACATACATTTTTGGATCAGTGCTCATGTTCTCATGTTTGCCTCTCAGCAGGTTGACCATTATATGGATAATATGAAAATCTCTGACTTTATCCTATTCTGATCTTATTGAGTTCTTTAGATAGGAATATTAATGCTGTTTGTAAAATTATGGACGCCTTCAGCCATTGTTTTTTCCTGTCTAGGTCTCTCCTCTTTTTGTGCAACTCCTACTATGTATAAATGGTATGCTTGGTAGTGTTCTCTTCTTTTTGCTTCATTTTTTATCTGTTAAAATAGGTCATCTCAATTGGACCGTATTTGTAGTTATTATTATTATTATTGTCAACTTAAATCTGCTATTCAATACTTTTCATTCATTATTATACTTTTCACTCCATAATTTATCTTTTTATTTCTATCTGTTTATACTGTCTGCTTGATAGATAACTCATTGATTCCCTATTTTGATGTCATTATGCAGACTATATACCTCTTTTAGCTGTTTGGACATGTTTAAAGTCTTCTTCTCATAAGTACAACACCTGACCTTGCTCAGAGGGTTTTTATTTATCCTCCCCTATTCCTATGCATGGAGCACATGTTCTTGATTCTAAATATGCCTCATGATACTTTAACTGAAGACTGACATCTTAGGGAACACCATGTAGTAAATCTGGAAGTGAGATCCACACCACTCTTTGTGTTTAGGTTAATGTTCTGGACCTTATTGTTGCTGTGTTGATTTATTTATTTGCATGTTTATTGAATTTCCTAGACCAAGTCTCTGAATTCTGTGACATTTTGAGCTCTATTGGATTTCTCCTTGTTTAGCCTAGTGGTCAAAGATCAGACTAACATTTTCTTAAAGGTAGTAACTGGGTAAAGTTTTTCTTATCTTTGCTGGCAGGCTTTAAATACTTCTTAGGGTATACCTTCAAGGCTCAGGCAGAAGTTTGCAAGTCTGTTTTGACCTTCAAAAGCTATTTCCATAGAACTTTAAGATCAGTCAGAAGTGAACATTTGGAATCTTTTTAGGTATTTTCTGGTTAAACTAACATTCTCTAGTACACATTGCCTTCTAAGTCTCTATGAACATGTAACTAGTAAAGTCCCCATGAGTCTCTCTCTCTCTCTCTGTCTCTCTGACTCTCTCTGTCTCTCTGTCTCTCTGTCTCTCTGTCTCTGTCTCTGTCTCTCTCTCTCCATTTCTTTCTTTGCAATTCTTGGGCCAGTGCTCTTGGCCACAGTTGTCTTTCCTAGCTTAAGAAGCTGAGGTGTTAGGTAATTGCCATGGACTGCCTTCAACGTATGTTCCAAATATAAAACCTTTCTCAGAGAACAATGTCAGAGTCATGTAACAAACCTCAGCCCAATAAATGGGACTTTCTGGATACCTTCCAGTTATCTGGGAATGGAACTTCTTGAATAACTCCAATCCTGGGGTATCCCCCAGTGTGTTAAGTTGCTATTTTGCATAGATATTATGATTGAGATGACTTTGAACCCATCTCCTTTCAAAGGAACTGTAGACTTGGCATCAATGGACAGACGGGACATATTATAAACCCCACACATCTTGTGGTTATATTTGACAGAGTACTGTCTTGATTGATTAAATGCTCCTGGGGAGGCTGCAAGCTTCTTGTTCATTTTCAGAATTCTGCAATGGTTGCTTGGCAATTGTTTCTGGTGTTTTTGTTGCTTTGGTGAAAGTGATTTTTGGAGTTCCTCGACCCATCATTCTTAAAGGTCTCCCTGTCTCAAAACACAGCAGTATCTTTAATTATTAAACAAGAGAGAAATAAATGTCTAAACATACATCAGCAATGGAAAATCTAGATACATTATGGTATCCTTCATGTCACAGCAACAGCTACTAACAGAGGTAAAAGTGGAGTGTGTGACAACATGTGAGTGGTAAATGAACAACCATTTTACATAGTAAGCGTGATGTATGTGAGCAAAGTTAACTCATTTATTTAATAAAATAATGATTTGTTCCTGAAAGTGGATTGACTTAGAAGGAAAAAAAAAGATTGTCCCTAATGCCAAATACTACCAATAAAGAAAACATGATTTTTTAAAAATTTTGGTTCTTTTTGTATATGATGTTTGTGTTTGTGAGTTTTCCAAATCTCCTATATGTTCCTTTTATAATGATGACAGTTACCTAAGAAATATTTGTGCCATGCTGAGGCCTTACTTGATCTAACAGATCTCAAACAGCCCCATTTAATTTTGAAAAACTCCTTTTAAAGTATGTACTTTTTGTTCCCTTGTCTTCCAAGAATTTGGTTGGATCACACATCTATATTTTACCAACAAATACTTTGAATGGTGGAACACTTTAGTTCAGGAACCCCTTTGAAAATCTCATTCAAACCATGCATCATCTCTCCAGTGAAAATGTACATGCACACATTATTTTCTTAATTGAGAAGCATTCAGTTAAATTAACTGTTCATGGAAAATACTGAAAGCAACGTAATTCATCAATATTATATAGCACAAATTATAAAAATGTTTTTTCTTATGTTAGTTGTAGTCTTCCTTTTTGTATTAGACAAAAAAGGGGGAATTGTGGTGACATATTGTTTATGATATAATGAAGTCACTATAGATCAAAAGCCAAAGCTAGCCACAGCCACAGAGTCAGGCAGTAGTGACACACACCTTTAATCCCAGGACTCGGGAGACAGGCAGACGTATCTCTGTTAGTTGAAGGCCACACTGAGTTACACGAAATTGATCCAGTCTAAAAAGAGAAACAGCTCATACAAAGTTGATTCAGCACTTGGGATCAAATACCTTTAATCCCAACACTAGCAAAATGGAGGCTGGAGAGATATGGCTGGGCAGAGAGAGTAATATAAGGCTGGAGGAGACAGGAATTTGGAGGAGTGAAGCCTGAAGTTTGATGGAGACAGCATTGTACTCTGAGGATTTGTGGAGATAAGATCATCCATTTTGATCTGAGGTAGAGGTGAGAGCTACTAGCTTGACTGCTTTGCTTCTCTGATCTTTCAGCTTGAACCCCAATATCAGGCTTTTTAATAAAGGAAGGCATGTGGAAGAGGAACAAAGACCTGGAAACCTTGGGTCTTCGTGTGTGTGTGTGTGTGTGTGTGTGTGTGTGTGTGTGTGTGTGTGTGTGTGTGTGTGTTGTGTATTGAAATTTTGAATATGCATACCTATATGCAAAAGAGAAAGAAGAAGTGTTCTAGAAGGAGGTGACTTGCCCAAGACTGTCCTGTTAGATGATAACAAACATGGGTTACCTCTAAGAGTCTAAGCTTTTAGATCAAGGTTCTTCCCTCATGTTACCTGGAACCATAGCACAAATGGCAGTATATGCTAGGTCTTCTATGACTCTTGGAGAAAGCCAAGCTCTCCTTGCTGTGGTTTCTTTCTCTGGTCTTGGCACTCACACTTGATTCCAGGCATCCTTGGAATATAGGAAGATAGTGTGGAACCTGGCCTGGCATCTAGCAGGTCCTTATCAGATTTAAGTGACCACTGTTCCCAACCAGATAAGAGGAACCAAAGAGTCCCAGGGAAACTCCAAGAGAATTAGGTAATTGGTCTGTAAGAGAATACTTTGTCACAACACATCCCTGGGGCAACTGGGTACTGAATGATGTATAAGCACTTTCTGAGAGAAGAGGTTGGGTAATTTGGTGTATAAGTGTGAACACCGGGTTGTAAAAGCTGCAACGTGGAAGAATAAAGGGCATTTGAAGAAAAGGGAAGGAACGGGTGCCAAGTAAGCAGTGAGGAAAGCAAGAGGTTAGGGGTCTAACAGTAGATTTGAACTGTGTCCTCACACAGTTCCTGCTTCATGTCCCTATGCTGGTGCCAATCTGGAAGCTAACCATCCTTCTGTCTGTTTGGCTTTCCACAGCTCCCCTTTGCAGAAGGCCTGTATCACTTTTATCACAATGGCCTTTCAAAGGCCAAAAGAAGACGCAGTCTACACCAGCGGCAGCTGGAGAGGGACCCCAGGGTGAGTTCTGCCCAGAAACCTGCATCTTGATCTCCACGACCACACCAAAACTCTCCCGGTGGATACACAGGGTGGGCAGGAGATGTTGGAATGCTGGGATTTTGTTTATTTTGATAGAAGACAGGATCACTGGAAAACATCATATACTCCCTGCTCCCATTTTGTGCATAGTGAATAACCCTAGGCCACATATATAGGAATGGGGGAGGAAACTCGGGTATTTCGTTGCCTTCTCTTTAACTATTACATGAAGATTGCAGATTGCCTGAAAGCATGCCTTTGGCCTGTGGTGGATGGAAAGATACACGGTGGTTTACTGAGTTATTTATGGGAGTTTTATATTAGCAAATTTGTGCTTTGAAAAGGGTCCTGTGTTTCATATTATGAACAGAACAATATGTAGACCAGTAGAGGATGGTCATATCTCCACAGGCAGTGGTGTCTCAGTATCTACGAATGGCTACAGCCCCAGACCTCAATCAGTCTTCTTCCCTTGTGTTGTCTTCTACTGACCCATGTGGTCCCCACTCCTCAGCTATCTTCTTTTGTTATGTTAGTAATATTTTTATTAAAATCATTGTAACATTTCCCCCTCCCTTTCCTGTCTTCAATATATCCTTTTTCCTTTGCTCCTTCTCAAATTCATTAACTATTTTTTAATTATTGCTATATTTCTATAAAAAATCCCTTGAATATAAATACAACCTTTTAAGTCCACTTTGTGTCTAAAGATATAGATATAGACATGGATATGGATATGGATATGGGTATAGATATAGATATAGATGTAGATATAGATATAGATGATATAGATATCCACTTGGTATTGAATAACCTATTATGGGTTCCTGGGGAAGATTGATTCTCCCTCCTTCACAGTCCTTAGCTGCCTGTATGTCTATGTCTAGAGGTTCAACCCTATGAACCTCCATGTTAGGATATCTATTGGTGTCTTTGTTCAGGTCTTGCTTAGGAAACTATATTTTTAATGTTTCATGGGTACATCTTCCATGTCATTTCTAGGAGATACAATCGCACAGAAGACTTCCTGGTCCTCTGGCCCTTGTAATCTTCCTGCCACCTTCTTTCTTGATGTTCCCTGAGTCTTGAGTGAAGGAATTGTACAGTAGATGTGTCAACTAGGGCTAGACACTCCATTATCAGTCTTTCTCTGTGTTGTGACAGTTATGAATCTCCATCTGTTACAAAATTGACTCAGCTATCTCCTTAATGTTCATGATCTCCATCTTTTACCTCTAATTTGCATTTCACTCTTTGACTCCAGATCTTACTTTTAACTCCCTCAGACAGCTAAAATTTGTTTTTGTTTTTTTTTCAACCAAATGTAAGATCTTAGCCATGAGGAGTTCCGCTTCAGTGTTCCTGTTCCTTTTCTTCAGAGCAGCAACTTTAGCCATCATGGCATTCTTCCTCCTTTAATTTCCAACTACCATGTACTTGTACATTCACCCCACAGGGGACATTTTGGTTTCTCTTAGGCAAGTTCTAAGAGGCAATGTACCACCAAGGTCAAGTTTATGTCTATGCTTTGAAGGCAGTGCAACCTCTTTCTTTTGATTCTTAAGGAATAGACAGTAAGTGGGTGAGATGTTTGAGTTAGGGGTTTGTACAAGACTCGTTTTAGTAAGTAGTTTTAATTGGGGTTTCAACAGAAAGTAAAGGCTCCCAAGCAAGTCACCAAATGTCAGGCCATAGGCAAGTTTGATTTATTCCTTAACAGGGGTCTTTTCACATGGCCTGAGGGGAACGTTGATTCTAAGAAGCCATTTTGTCATTGTCTTTGCAATAAAGACCAAGTGTCTAATTCTGAATCTATTGTATGAGTCACCACCATGACCCAAGTGAAGAGCTCTCTTTCACAGCCTTGTCCTTGGTCATACTAATTGCCAAGGGACACCTTTGAGCACATTGGAATGTAATAATTAATATCATTTTTTAAATTCAAGTGGGTACCACTGGATAAGGGACCACCCAGGTACACTATGAAACTGCTTTTCCCTCATGTCAACCATGCCCCAGATTACCTATGACGGTCAATCAGTTTCCTTTCACTCATATATTGATATAGAAGCCATGTTAGTTTTTCTACTTCAATAGTTCAAAGGCATTACCCTCCCACATACTCAAAAACACATAAAAGGAATGAGGCAAAAACAGAGAGATACTTTTAAGCCCAGGCAGGCTGAAAGCAGAACTGAAGAACAAGTGTCTGAAAGGACATTGTTTGGATCAGGAGATTATGTGACGCCACTAAGCTGAGATTGTTTCATTTGAAATGATCTTTAACATGGTCATTCTTGGTACTGTGTGATGTTTACAAAAGGGAAGATAATGACACAGGTTGGTAAAGAAGGAGTCCACATTGGTAATTCTATTCATATGTCTCTCTTTTCAAAATATTATCCTTTATCACTAACAGGGGCATCTGTTCCCTTTCATCATGCATTTTAAGTATCCTAGTAGCCAACTGCCTGGCAGTAGGAGAAGTAAGCATCTTCCCTGCCCATAAAGGCCCACAGAAGTCATCAGGGAACCTCAGCAAGATTAAGTAGCTTTAATGTCATCAATAATAAATTCATTTTAGGGGAATAAATAGACCCTGAAGTTCTCAGGCATCTTTTTATTAAAAAGTTGTTTTTTTAAAAAGAAAAGTTTACTTAAAACTGCTTCATTCCAAAATATTACATTAAGGCTTTGATCTTTTCTATGTGATATTCTTAGGGTCATATAATGTTAGGTATATGCAGAGTTCAGAACTGGCAGACACTATTCTTAAACAAAAAACATCAGTGATTATTGCAAAAGTAGCAATGTGAAAATTCGCCCTGAGGTTTTATAAACCTTAACAAAAGTGCAAGCATATATAGTTTGGGAGTAATGCAAGCATCTGTAGTTTGGGGGTATGCCAGCTTCGGGATTTGTGAGGGCTAGTTTTATAGCAACTGACACAAGCTGCAGCCATCAGAGAGGAGGGAACCTCAACTGAGAAAATACCTCCATAAGACCCATCTGCATCAGCTCCTGCCTCCAGGTTCCCTCCCATTTTCATTTGTTTTCCTGGCTTCCTTCAATGAAGAAGAATGACATAGAAGCTCCAGTGAAATAAACCCTTTCCTCCCCGAACTGTTTTCGTCATGATGTTTTTTCCCCAGCAATAGCAACCCTAACTAAGACAGGGTTACTAAGCATATACCAACAGATTGTAAACTGAAAGTAAGTAATAGCGAAATAAAAGGCAGATGATCTGGGGAACTCAATGAATAGTTGGTACAGGCTCTCATTTTTTTGCATAGATGTTGCAAATTGTGGTTCATGAGCCATAATTTAAGAGTAAGTTGCTTCTTTCTTCTCTGAAAATGTCTTCTAGACCATAACTTCTCAAATTGTGTGCTGCAACCCACATGGGGTTGTGTAAATAAATACTGGAAATATAACATAATTGGCAACATAAAAGGTTCCTGAACATATGACAGCCAAATGAACAAGAATCCAAGGTGTTTCTGGCAGCCTATGTCCATATTATGCCATATAATTTCACTACAGCCTGGTCACACAGAATGCAATGCCAACCAATACTGCCTAACACGCTGTTTTAACTACTTTTCTATTGTTGTGATAAAACACCATTACCAAAGAAACTTATAAAAGAAAGAATTTAGTTGATTTACAGTTTCAGAGGGTTAGAGTCCATGATGACTTAATGAAAGAACAACAGATCTCACATCTTGATCTGCAGCCATGAGGCAGAGATAACGAGAAAGCATAGTCTTTGAAACCTCAAGGCTAGCTAGCCCCCAGTGACACATTTCCTACAAGGCCACACCCTCTAACCCTTTTTAAACAGTTCCACCAACTGGAGACTAAGCATTAAAATATATAAGGCTGTTGTTTCTAGTTTCATACAAACCACCAAACACCTCAGCTCAAATTCAAGCACATTTCCTGTTATAAATTACAGTATTTTACTGTAATTTTTCTTCTTATACAGAAATATAATAGTTTAATGATGATGACCTTTAATATTTTCCTACCAGCATTCCTCAGCATGTATCAAATTGGTGTATCATTAGACTGTATTGTATTATAATGTTTGACTTTAAAAATTGCTGTTTGAGCTGATTGACTTGAGTTTCAAAAAAAATCATTGAATTAATTTTGGCTGAGGCAGAATTTCCAACAATTTCTATACTAGCCCTAAACACCATTTTGTACTACATGTTTATGAAAAGAGGCCAATTATAAAATAAAAGCATCCATCAACTCTGAGAAACATTAAAATGCTTAATCAAATATTTAGTCAAGATTTAATACTTTAATCAGTAACAAATATATCTAAGTATGCAAATATCTATCTCAATATGCAAATTTGTCCTCATCTTTACGAAATGCTGAAATTTTAGGTGTACCAGAAAAACTATCTTATAATAGTTTGTGTAGCTATTTTATATTTCTTGATTCTCAGACTCAACAAAGAAAGAAATCTTGACCACAAAATGGCCATGAGTTGAAAATGTTAAGAAGTCCCAGACAGTGAGTAAATGGTACTCACTGTCTGTGACTTGTGAAAGGTAATATAAGCCCAAAGAACTGCATTATGCAAAAGATGGACTGAGCTATTACAAGATCTTGAGGTTAAATTCATCTAGGCAACTTTTTGGCCCCCCCCCAAAAAACCAGTATTTATTACCAACACAACCGAGCAGGACACCTGCTAAACCATTGAAAATGTGCCGTTTCTCATGTTCCAAAAAAAATGGATAGTGCACCTCTTCCATATGTCTATCATCCAGTCACATGATCTGAGCCATATTTTTTCCTAATTTGAATCAATCTTACTTTACATATCAATTCCAGTTCCCCCTCTCTCTCATCCTCCCACACTCCCCAACGGCCCCCCATCCCATTCCCTATCATTCCCCAGGGAGAGTGAGGCATTCCATGAGGGATCGTTAAAATCTGTCAAGTCATTTAAGACAGGG